AATTAATAACAACCAATCAGCGCAGACCGGAATACACTACGATATTGTAAACATAAACCGATTCGTTTCAAATTCGTTAATAGTTTCGTATACAGACCGCCACTGTGGCATACTAAAAAGTTAAAACGGCTCGAGGTTTTACAGAGCAATATATCAAGTTGTACTTTTTATTACAATCTGCATGTGTTTCTCCTGTAGGCACAGTAAGTTTAAAGTTGTATATTACCCGCTAACTAATTCAGTTATTTGGAATTGCTTCGTGCTGCAATATATAATATACACTGTATACAGTCTATATATAGTAATAATATAACTTACTGAAATTTATGGCTTTGGTGAGACATAGACATATATGATATACCATGGACATAATTTAATAATATGTTTATAGTTTAAATTTTGCAACAAAAAGTGGAATTGCAGTAAACATGCATGTGATAATTATTGTAAACAAAGTGACGAGTAAATTACTGTACATTTTAACGCCGCATACTTATAAATATTAAATAGTCAGTATAACATTGTAAAACAAGCTTAATACACATAATATGCACTGAATATTATCAGAATTCCCAATATTGTTTCATAAAAGAGAAGCGATATAATGCCTTGTCCCTAGGTTTCGGTTTGCGAATTTGTGCAGTCTTTCTCAAGAATTATTCTTAGCTTAGGAGTCAGACAAGCCAAGGACACAATAAAGCATGCAAGCTTTTAGTATTTGTCTTTATATGAATACTATATTAATTTACAGTAAAAAGTCAACCAGGATCAAAATACATGACACTTTTATCTCTACATTGCCGCAATTCCGAAGCTTTGCGTTGCTCGGTTTTACAAGCGGGAAGTGCAAGTTTATGGAAGCTTGTCAATCACTTCATATGAATCAGTTATCAACCAATCAGAGCACTGCGTCCAAATATTGGACGCATGCACCGAATCATCAAAGGGATCCTTGCAGGCTCTCTTTCCCCAGAGAGCCTGCTCGCAGGCTACTTCTTTATAGCATATATTTAACAGAAAATTACAACATAGAAATGCATATCACACAAATAAGCTATACGATTTTCTTAACAACACATATACGTGGAGACTGTAGATTAGACTTATAGACTTCTGCTAATAGAAATTAATCGAAAATTTACAACTGAACGTCCAGATGCCTTCAGTGAATCGGCGGCGAAGCGACTAATATAAAATACAAGCCTTCGATTTTAATAAAAATATAACTACAGTAAGTCAAGTAACTATCCGCATACAAATGAGTAAATACACAATAGACATACCTTTCAAATTCCATGTATTTTCTAGGTCTTTCGAACTTTATAGAAAATTTGAATAAAAATCTTCTCCTTTGAATGCTTGCTCTCAAAAGATCGAACTTGGCGCTTGTTGTCAATGTGTCATACAGATCGAATTACTACAACACGTGATATATTCTAAGCATGTTAATTGGTTGAAAGTTTGGAATTTCCACTTGTTGAAAATTATATTCAGCAAGCAAAACATTCCACAAGTTCAAATTACAGAATCTCTGACAAACGCGGGTAATTATAATAGAGATTTACGCAGCAAAAAATATAGATGAGAGCAATGCTGGTGTTAAATTAATTTGACAAGAAAAACTCGCTGACAATTTCTGGCTACATTCGATCGTCGCGTGCGATCGAACAATAAGAAGCCGATATGGTCCGATATACTTGTAATACAACTACAAGAATCTGACTTGGCAATATTCGAGAAAAACGGCGCGTCAACCAGCTGAATTAAATCTTGGGTTGATTTTACACGAACTGCAGTCCTTCACTACGAATTTGTATAGAAAATATCGCCCTAATTCTAGGTTGAAGAAACTCAGTTGAATATAGTTTTTGTCATTCCTATGTGTGATGGTCGAGTTATAATACACAGGCCGAGTAAAAACTTGGTGGAAAATTACTCACTATTTCACTTCTACTATACGATTTAATAAATGGCTTTTAACTGAGTGGAGTGAGAATAACTCCTTGAAATTGAAAGTATATGTCATAAGTCGAACTAAATATTTCAACATATTTCATATAGGTTAGTTTAGTTTTCAGTATTTTGACTTAATCATAATGGTTATAATGACCTATTTGGGAATAATAACCAATCGGTAAATTTGCTTAACCAAAAAGATTGGTTAAATTAACCTATTTTTATTGGTCGCAAAATTTGACCTGATAATAATAGGTTATTTTAACTAATTTAAATCGGTTCTAACCCATTCAATTGGTTAAAACAACCTTTAATTATTGGTTACAACCTTTAGAAATAGGTTGTTTTAACCTATCAGTTTTTACAGTGCACCACCACCGATCTTACCAATTCTATCTTGGCGAAATATGTTGAAGCCTGGGAGAAGTTCCGAGTCAATGATCGTATTGTTCAGCCATGTCTCGCAGATACAGATGACTTCGTAATTGCACCCGTAGACTAAATCTTGAATTAAAGTTATTTTACAAACTTTTCTTGCAGGGATGTTGTCGGTAGAGACGAACGACTTCACATTTCGGGCGTTCAAATAGAGCCGCACTTCTAGGCAGTTGTTATCCGGCATTCTACGAGATTGAACAGGACCAGGGTTTGTGGCGATATCACCAGCGAGTAGAATACACAAAAGAAGGTGCAAATTACAATTCGCAATGTTTAAGTTGAAGGCCATATCTGTGATTAGACACGAGAGGGAAAGTAGACTTACGTAAAGTATTATCGCGCGTGTAAGACCAAAAACAACACAATCGATTTGATATTAACAGTAGTTCTGAAGAAATGCTACAGATATTCTGGGGAAATGTTCGGTCGTTGGGTTGAATTTCTGATGGCTTTGATCTTATTGATAACCAGAAAGTTAAAATGAGAAAAAAGAGATACCCAAAAACTTTATTGAGCATTTTATTGAAGGTTGTAGTTCATTTGATTTAAGATTTAATTAAACTCCATTATATAAGACAGTTGTTGCCATGGAGAGCGACGCCAAACGGATTTAAATTTCAAAAGTTGCAACGGTCAAAAAAAATTTTTTTGAATAATTCATGAACAGAACATTTAAATAACACCAAAATTGTACAAAATAGCCACAAAACGATTCATTGGTCCAACCTTATCAAACCAAATTAGACTGAACATAAGTAGCCAGGGTTTTGAGTTTACATGACGCATGAAGCTTCTAAAATATTTGAATTCACGACTGTTGATAGCACAATTGTACTTAATGAACTGGAAAAATTAAACTCGCCTAAGTCGACAGGCCCAGATAATATCCCAGTTAAACTGTTAAAAGACTCCAAAGAGACAGTTGCACCTTTCTTGGCATACATATTTGTCACCAATTTATAAAGAAATTGATAAAAAAGAAAGGGGTAATTATAGACCGATATCTGTTCTTTCAATTGTCGCTAAACTATTTGAAAAACTCATGCATATGCATACAGTTAACAGATTATCTAAATGCAAATGACATTCGAAGCCCCTGTCAGTCATGCTTCCGTCAGAACCACTCTACAATGTCGTCCTTATTGTCAAATAGCGGATTCATGGCTAGTCAATATGGATGCTGGACTTGATCTGCGTAAAGCATTTGATGCGGTTGATCATGAAATCCTTATTAAGCAGTTAAAAATACTGCCCTCAAGTGGTTTATTTCATATTTATTTGATCGAAAACAGTTTTGCAAGGTAGCGAGTGCAGCATCGTCAACAAAAAATATACGCTGTGGAGTACTACAGGGTTCAAATCTCAGTCCATTGTTATTTCTCTTGTATGTCAACGATCGCTACCGAACTGTCTCAAACACTATAGTGCTGAAATGTATGCGGATGATACGAATTTGACGGCGTGTTCTGATGATGTTAACTATTTACAAGCCATTTTGAATTCGAACTTGAACAATATCCATCAGTGGATAGTCGTAGCCAATAAATTAACTTTGAATGTTGATAAAACGGAGTATATGATTATCGGAACACGGCAGAAATTCAAAAATTTCTCAAGTGACATGAATATTAACATCGGTGGGAAAAACTTAACACAAGTCGTTTCTAAATAAGTCTTAGGCACAATAATAGATGATCAATTACGCTGGGATAGATTGACAAATTGATGACATAAGTAAGAAAGTATCTCAAAGCATCGGCATGTTACGACGAGCTAAACAGTTTGTTAAAAGAGAAACGCTTCAATTTCTTTATAATTATATGGTTGAACCTATTATTTTGAGTATTGCACTGGTTTGGGGCAACTGCGGCGAATCCCTGAAGGAAAAACTGCAGAAACTTCAAAACAGGACAGCAGTTAGGTCATTACACGTGATACTTATGATATACGCTCAAAAGATATTTAAAAAAAGTTGAATTGGAAAGACCTATCCGAAAAAAGAAAAGAAAAAGCAAGTGCGTATGTTTTGAAAGCTATTACCGGTAATTGCCCGGAAAATATAGCTAAAAATTTTAAAATATCGAATTCTGAAAGATATGATTTAAGAAGCAAAAAAAAATTTAACATTGCCCAAACTGAAAACAAATTCTATGGTTCGCACCTTTGGCTGTGCTGCTGCTAAAATTTGGAACGAAAGGAATAAAGTAGAGTGAATGTATTTCTATTTCTGTGTTTTTGTTTATTTTCTTTTCGATATTGTAAATAACTGTTATACTTACTGACACACGGCCTAATGAAAAGCAACCATCTTAATTTGTATATATATATATATATATATATATATATATATATATATATATATATATATATATATATATATATATATATATATATATATATATATATATCTGTCTATCTATCTATCTATCTATCTATCT